AGAACGCATTGGAGAAGGTGACTCGATTTTTGGTCAACCCTTATATCCGACATCAAGACTTTGTCATATTTCGTTTACTAGTTGATAGATGGTTGGAAAATAGAATTTAATTGTATGTATCAATTTACTCTATCAAAGTAAAGAATAACCTTGGTTGGTACCGCGGCGTAGCTCACGCAAGAGCGGTTGTAGCACTCTATAGCACGGCAACTGGGATGCATTGCTATGAGGTGCTACAAGATGCTACGGGGCCCTCGCCAAGCACTATGGGGCCTCCGTCTGCTCCAAATCCGCTGGTGGGAGCTATGCCGCAAAAGTGTGTTTCCTGATGAGTGGCCCGGGGGTGTGTCGTAATTGAGGGCTGGCAAGACTCTCAGCAATGTTGTGAGTGAGAAAATGCATCAGGAAAGATGCAAATTTGTCGGAGGGGGAATACTTGCGCATTCTCCATGCCCTTTTGCATCCTTTCTTTTGCCCGAGGCGAAAAACGCAGGGCGACATCTGGTGGTTGTACCTCCAGAACTGAGTAAACTCGGCCACAAGGATTGACATATCCGATACTGAATGAAATAAGCCAACCTGAGGAAGGCTTGAGAAAGGTGAGTATTAGATGATTTGTCAATGCCATGAAAATGGGTATAGTACCTATCTGCTGGCCCTCGATGGACCTTCGACTCCCCGACTCGGAGGGTATACCGTGATCTCACCTTTGCAAAATTAAAAATTGGATATCAATAAGAGCACCTCAAACGAACATGAAAAAACGCGCACATACCGATGCCTCCGCGAAGAGAGTAAATCCATGTGTGGGATGGATCCAACCCGGCGGCCTATTCAAATCAATACAAAGGCAAAGAGATTCATCATTGTGAGCGAACATGCAACGGTATAATGCAGAGTAAAAATTATACTAACCGGCCCATCCTCGCTTTGCGATACTAGCGCATTCTGAGCAGCGGTTCGTTTGTCGGTAAGGCCATATAAAGTACCATGTCCCGACTGATCACGGGGCCGCACGTTGCCGGTTACAAAACTCCTAGGCCGCAGCTGAACTACTCCGCCTTCCAGCTTCGTGATAAGTAAAGCTGTGGATGTCCGAGTAGAAATCACGGATATCACTCCGCAGGACCTAGTTCCAAAACATTGTCAGAGACGACTCAGAGGGAAGGAAGCTAAGAACGACTCGGAATACGCACAGCATACGAAGTAATTTGTCCGGATGCCACAGCTCGCTAACGTCTTTTCTATGTAGTACGTGATGAAGAGTGGGTACAGTCGTCCTATGGTTCCGCTGGTGAATGTGGATGGAAGTGTGTATCAAGTGGGAAATAATGGGTGAGGTTTCATGAGAAGTGCAGCTTCAGATGACACAGAAGATCACGAGTTAGCTTGAAATTCGATACGGATGGGATTTAAAAATGTGTGGCAAGTACTACTCACAGGTCAAATTCGTTCGTGCGTCGACAAAGAGCACAGTGGAGCAGTATATCACGCTCGGACATCGGCGGGGTGCGACGGACGCCAGGATCCAGGGGTGATAAGAAGAGACGTACCAGACCGACTGGACTGGATAGGGGATGAAGGGATGTGTTTGGTGAGAGCCAGAAGGGAAACCATGAGGGCTTATATACCCTCGTAGCCACTCATACGAACAAAGAACTGCCTCTCCTGCACATTCAGCAAGTAAAGGAGAACAAAGGACGTACGAGAGCATATGGGATTAGTGGCTTACTGTTTTTCAGGCTCCACAAGTTGTGCTGCGCAAGTTCTAGCTCCTTGGCCACTAGCCTCTTGCAGAATCTAGACTTCCGCTTTCCTGAGAGAAACGAGTTAGATGAGATGGACGTACCGAGAGAGGTTCAGTCTGCTACCTCGAACTCAAAAGTTCTCACAAGGAGAAACTGAAGAATAAGAAAATATCATCCATAACACACGATACTTACAGTAGCTACAGCCTACAGGGACATGTAAATGTACTCAGAGCGACTGCATGGCGGTAAAGGGGAGCAGATGGCGTAGACTTTAGCCACTGATGTGACCGAGTGAAGTATTGGAGTGATATTCTTCGCCGGTGCGCAGCTGAGAGGTAGTGGCTCGCTTCACGAAAGGCACGTTCGAGACTCGTACTTGCCGTCTCGAAGAGCGAACGCGAGTAGGTGACGATGACATGTTATCATCAGAACCATCCCGCACGTCCCAAAAGTCCAGAGAATGAAAGAAGAACCACAGACGGTAGGAGAGCTTGCAAGCATAATGCCAGAGCAACGAGTACCAGAAGAGAGCACGTCGAACGCGACTATATCTTCATGATTGCCTGCTATCCGAGCATGACGCATGACGACGCCGAGAAGCAGTGGCAAGTTCGAGCACTAGAACGGTCTCCGGAGACGGGGACTTGTCATGAAATAGATCGGATTAGCGTCATTAGACAAGTCAAAAGTGGCTACCACTTCACAGGTTTGTGATCAGGAGGAGCCCGAGGCCTGAATTGAACAAGAAGCAATATCAGAAGTGCGTCTCTAGTTAAGCAGTCGCGTAGTGGACTGGACCTTGAACCTAATCCAGACCGAGCTAGAGATGCGGAACGCAAGAGGGGTTGCTGATTTTACTTGTTGTCCGACCTACAATAATGTCATGAAACAATTCAGTATGAGTGAGTGCACAGTCGATGCTTGAGGGTCAAGAAACCGTCTCGTATGTGACTATCTTCGTATCTCGGGCGTTTGGAACGACAAGAGCGTACACAAAACATAGACAATTTTCCGTGTCATATTGTGGCTCACGAAACCTCGCGAGATTCTGTTGCGCCACGAACGATAGAGCCGTGGCCAGGAAGCGTTCATTCTCGAATAGATAGCACGTACCTGGACCCAACATACCAATCCATGCTGCTTGTATCATTGAAGTGCACGAACATAAGCACGAAGCGGTCTTCCCTGTTCGAGAACGACTGTAGTTGTGCGTGCAAGTATCGAAGTCTGATCCCAAGCTTCTCACTTGGCGTCCAGGCCTATTGGGGGATGCAAACAAGGCTATCGAATTAAAATATAGTGTTAGCTCTTTGCTGAGAATTTGAAGGGTCGGGGGAGCTACTGGCTGAACAGGAAGATGAGGGGAGAAGAACAATTGACGACGGCAAAACTTTTCGCGGGCGCTAGAAAGTGATCGCGATCACGAGACTTTTTAACGACGCGCCGGCCGTGCTGCGTGAGCGTCGACACAACTTTGAGTTGCTCGCCCACTCACTGCGATGTCCGACGTCCAAGGGTCAGCTCTTCTTCCACTTAATCTGCAATAATACAGTACTTGGCAAGGTTTTGTATCAGTGCTGAATTTCCTGAAAAGGTTTCATGCTCGAGCAGCCGCCGGCTAGTCCGTGACTAGTTCACCGCGCTTCAAGTTCTCGCGAACTTCTCGTCTATACAAAGCCTGCCCACCCGTACTTGACAGGTTATATTCCTTTTTTGCTGTTACACCTTTACCGTGCGCGAGAGTAGCCCTCGGAAGACAAAACGGGTACGTCACGCGTGACAGAAGATGTTTTTTCTTTCGTCGTATCGGGCGAAGCGAGAGAAGCGAAGGAGGTTGGTGTCTCGCATGTTGCATATATAAAGATGGTCCTTCGTTTGGTGAGTTGACATGAAACCAACGATCCACTAGTCGTTCTGTCTCCTCGTAGGCACTTTCGCTGTTGTTGAGGCTCTCGAGCAAGTCGCTCAGGTGAGTCCTCCCACCTGGGCCGCTCTCTGGAGTACGATGGTAGCTGACAGTATGTGTACTTCTCTTCGCCACAGGGATGGCCTACTGCGAGCGGTGCCACCAGTGCTTCAATTCTGAACGAGCACTCACCCAACACGAAGAGAACTCCTCCCACCATCACGTCTGCTACACTTGTCACAAAGACTACACCTGCAGGTCCGACATTACCGCTCATTGGGGACGAAGCTCTGCGCATTCGTACTGCGTCGACTGTGATCAACATTTTGACAGTGGTGGGCTGTTGAACGACCATTACGAGGATGCGCATTGGTTTTGTTCTCCCTGTTTTCAGGTATGTGTGCATATTTTGTTGGTAGTTTTAACGAAACTCTCAGGGAAAGAGACGAAAGATACTTACGACCACCTGACAGTTATTCGACTGTGAAGAAGATCTCCACCAACACAACTTAAATTACCACCATTACTGCGGGATATGTTCGAGAGCTCCAACAACCTCCAAATCCACCTTCGTTCCACCATCCACAGTCCACGCAAGTACAAATGCCCCGGTGCACATTGCGAGAAATCGTTCGTGTCAGACTCCGCTCTTGTCATGCACTGCGAGAGCGGGAGTTGTCGGTCGGGCGTAACAAGGCACGCTATCAATCGCGTCATCTTCGCCATCGACCAAGGTCGTACCCTTACCGTCACTCGCGCCGATAGGCTTATTGGTCCGGGTGTGGGGTACGATGATTGTGAGTTTCATCGTGTGGGAGCGGTGACGAGTTACTCGGCGACGAACGCTTCATGGAATGGAGACGCATACAAATGTTTTCTCTGCCACAAAGAATTCTGAACCATTGGCGCATTGAATATGCACCTCGATAGTCCCGCTCACCAGTCTAGTATCTATCGGTGTCCCGTCATCTAGGACGGATGCGACGACGAGTTTAGGACATTGAGTGGGTTGTTTCAGCATGTGGAGAGTGGGCGGTGTGAGGTGAAGAGGTTTAGGAGGCAATTGACGGGCGTGGTGGATTCTTTTAGGGATCAGTTGAGGTATATGTCTTTCGAGGGGTGAAGTTCATGCGTTTGTGGGGATACAACGTTTCTACTGTACCGTAACAATATTGATATTAATCCTCACTTATTGGTCAACAGTACTTACTTGTCTAGCAATATTAACATTGACCTTCTTCTACCGGGAAGATAAAAATCGAAACAATAGTGCACCAATATCATGAAGTTCGAATAAGTATGAGCCGGAGGTGAGGAAAAAATTCGTTGGGCTGACGACCCATAGCCCACCGCGAGGGTCGAACTCGCAGCCTTCAGATTAACCCGCTTGACGTAAGAGTCTGACGCTCTATCCGATTGAGCTAGGCGGGCATTTGCTTTTATGAGAACACAAAATAATAGGATCGACAGGGGAGATTTCTTATTCCTTGCGCCTCTCGAGTCTCGTCTCCGCTGAACTTGCGCTTCTAAGTTCGTTTCTCCCCTCGCGTACATGATCTCGGTGGTCGTTACTCCGACAATGGAAGCTTGACTGGGGCTTCGTTTGATGACCTGGACCTCTTGGTATATCTGCTGACTCGCTCAACATAGCTCTGCTCTGCGTAGGTGCCCTCGACAATTGAAATCAGGGTGAACGAGAGTAGTTTTGTTCCTGTGTCTCCTTCCAGTTCCTTACCCTCGAGCTCGTCAAGTCGTACCTCCGGGACCGATACAGTCCTCAGACCTTGCTGTGCACCATGTCTCGCGTTGGCTAATACCGGACGGACCCCTATTAATTGTCAATCCCTGAGATGTCCACCTGTCCTCGCAGCTTTGTCACGATGCATGTAAGTCTATTAATAGCACTTCCGCCCCCTAGATGCTAGACGGAGGTATGTCTTGGGTATGTCTAAAGTCAATGTCCATGACTTTCGATCAAGTAGTGTCTGTAGGTCTACATCCATGGTATGTAGGATGGACTAGTACTTGAAGCCGGTTTTTGCTGTTTCTTCTAGATGAAACTGAACGTTGAGGACGCGTGGTCCCTGAAGTAATGGATCCCTGGCCTCGATGCTCTATACTCTTTAGTGGATCCTTGGCCTCCCCACTTTACAAGCAATGCCCATTCAACCCACTCTGAAGTAGGGATGAATCCAACACAATCAACATGAGAAGACGTTCGGCACATATATCTAACGAAATATTGACCAAATCTGGGACGCTCATTCCACGCTTACGTCTTTCATAGCATCCGTATAGGTACATACTGTATGTACTTGGGCAGTTCCTGCATGTACAGAAATGGAGATCGAACGATCCAAGCGTGGGGCTTCTTAATCGTGCTGCTGCGGATACGTACCGAGGGCAATACGATACGAGTTCAATCGAAGATCACGGAAGCACTGTCTTAAGCACAAAGCGGTCGTTTTGACTTCCCGGGCCTGAGCCCAAATATTCCAGAGCCGCCTTCGTCATTCCACCACAATGTGCTCATTCTTCCCCAGGAGCTCACGACCTTGCAACCCTCTCATCAAGTTCTGTTAGAGATGTTCTCCGACCCTCCAACCACCGCGTCTCTGCCCCTCCCCTTGACGCACTTCAATATGGATCCGCATGTTGAATGTTGTCGACGGTGGGGGATCGTGTTTGTGGCTGATCGATTTCGAGCATGCGAGCTTCTATCCACACTGGTTTGAGTATATCGCAATGTGGGGCAGCTGGGAGGAACAGCTGGAGGCGGGAGCAGGTGGAAGATGGCCGGGTTCTACAGAGCGGAGGCTGGACTCCTCGCTCAGAACTTGTGAGCAGTCGAGATGGGCAACTTATTGTGATACATATATGGGGTGCGTGATATCAGAACAGCATTACTTATAATAGTGGCCAACAGCAACGGACGGGTTTTGCAATGGCACGACTCTGCGTATGAGGTAGATTCCAGAGGTGTTTCCAGCTGCGGTGGACATACATCAGTTGCTACAACGAAAGCGAGCTGAATAGACGTTCAGCGATAATGTCATGTACTTCCGCAGTCAAATGCAAGTCATCTGCCCAAATTCCCCCTCCTTCTGTCTCGGGGTCATCCTCACTGAGATCGTACTCGCTCGGATCATCCAATACATCTGACAGTACCTGGTGTGATGAGAACATGAGAATGGTGGCCTCCTGGCTGTTGGTGCCAAACTCCGTCATCTGCGCCTGTAAGAGGTCATTCCACCGCCTGACCCGCTCTCCTATCTCTTCAGATATCCCAGTGCTAATAGCTATAGCGAGTGAGTCAATAAGTGAGGACTGTGATACGGCCAAGATAGCCTACCCTGGGGTGAGCGATCGATAGGCGGTACGTCAATGAGTATGATGTTCCTGGCACCAGCCTTGACATAGAGATCATGAACGGCATCATCTATTGTCTCTATGATGGGTTCTAGGTCATCCTCATCGTTGCTCCCGCAATCGTTGATCCCAAAAAACACGACTGACATGATAGGCACGTTAGCAGAGGAGTCACTTAGTGCCGAGCAGATCCAGGTCACTCACAATACGTAGTTTTATCCGGGTGCAAACGTGGTTTGGCATTGGGGGAATCCTTCTTCGGAAAGAGGGCGAATAAGCGTGATACCTGATCTACAAGATCATCCTGGGCAGTCGCTCCGGGAGAAGCAAGATTGTGTATTTGCGGCGAGTTCTTCATCTTCCTGAGTCGCTTGTCCAGAAATTCGACCTAAAGAGCTACTGCCTCAATTATGAAAGTCGATGAATGGGATCCATGTACGCCAACATTACGCACCCATGTCTTCCCGCCATCGTCGGACTTGCTGTAAGAGTCACCCCTGACATTGCTATGAGTTCCATCTCATGCGACTGCATTGTAGGATGTCTCACAGAACAACAATCGTTTGCAGAGAGTCTGTCGCATTCCAGTGGTTGCCTCCGTTGGCTGCAACCAAGTATCCTAAGGAATTCACGGGCCAGTGCACGGCGGCGTCAGCAGTGAGATTGCCCCGAGACTGACACCAACGTAACACGAACGAGAAACTGGAGGCAACACGGGCTTTCTGGTCGGTGACGTCTCTTGAGACTTCCCTCTCTTCGTAGGACGCGCCTCGGAGTTGTCCTCATCATGGATCTGGGGCTTGGAGGGTGGCGGCGTAGTGCCATGAACTCGACTGTCCGAGGGCGGTGAGGCATTACTCAAAGTCCGCTTGCGCTTAGTATATCCGGTCATTTGGACCTGAGGATCTGCAGTCTGAAGTCGCTGCTACGGCCCCTGCGATCTGAGAGACGGAATGGAGAGGAATAAGTTCTTGAGCTTACACGTTCAACCTCAACATCTGCATGTCTTTTTCATCTCCGCCCCTATCACCGCGCCTATAATGTCTGGTCACGAGACTACCGTCGCCATCCTGCAGTTGTCACCCTGCCAGCTCTTTTCTATCGCAAACGTCTAAGAACTACTTCTAGCTCTGAAGTACGCTCCTTGTTCCCCTCGTTGCTGCACACTGCTTGTACATCTCCATACACCCTGCTTCTTCCTTGTCCCGTATAATCTCGCCCAACAAATGGCCGAACGTGGCTACTGTAACCTCAACAAATCTGTTCTCAAACAGATCTCTAAATCCCTAGAGGACGATCCTGGGACTGACTTGGGAACAGTTCTGCACAAGCTATCGTCGACATATGCAGACATGAGGCGGATGGTGGGGGCACGACGGACGAGGAAGCAGAAAGGCGTGTAGCCACTTCGACCGTCATTCCGCCACCTGCTAACAGAACTGATTATCACAGACTGCTCTGAGAAGGACGAACCACCTCCGCCTAAAAGACGACGTTTGCCAGGCGCGCTGGCTCCATTCACCTCTCTCCTCCAGTTGCAGGCATTGCCGTCCGAAACGTCTGTCTGTCAACCACCGCCTCCCACCTCCCTATCACATGCCCTCCCGTACAACGTCATCCATCCCCTATCCCCCGTGGTTTGCCAGATGCTCAAGATCAGTGTAGAATGCCCTTTTGACTTACCGTCGAAGGTCGTTCAAGCGGCACTTTCTGGCAAGCCAATCTGGGAAGGCATCTCCCGCGCTGTGATCCAGCTCAGTGAGACGGTGGTGGTTAAGGTTGCGCAAGTCTTAGACCCAGACGAGCACGACGTTTTGCAGTACTTGGAGGAGCGCATACCAAGTATTCCTGCCCCACGTGCATTAGGACTAGTCCGAGTGGGGACTACGTTATTCCTGTTCATGACCCTTATTCCGGGCGTCACTTTGGAGAGTCGTTGGCCCTCTTTGTCAAAGGAAGCGAAAATCCACGTTCAACACTCCCTGGACGAACATTTCCTCGCTCTCCGCCAGCTGAAACTACCCAGTGGCGCGCCCTTTGGCTTGCCTGCTGGTCGTCGGCTCTGCAAGGATGTCCGAAGAGATGAGCGAGTCAGCACGTCGCCCATCTACTCCGAGGCTGCATTCAACGACTTCCTTCTTTCCTCGCCGTCTTCTCACGCTGCCCAGGGATACATAGATTGGCTGCGCTCAATGCTCCGCGTTGACCATTGTATTGTCTTCACCCACGCTGATCTCCATCCCCGGAATGTGATGGTAACCAGTGGACCTGACGGTGGCGTGGAGCTATCTGGTATCATCGACTGGGAGTCGAGTGGCTATTATCCTGAATACTGGGAGCACTTGAAAGCAATGAACACGAGGTCGATCAAGGATACAAGTGATTGGTGGGATTATCTTCCTCCGTCCATCTTAGGGTACGATCGTGACCTCGTCTTGGACCGAGTTATTGAATCCACTGTAGTATACTAATCCCTTCATCTCCTCGCTGGGACTTACCACTCATGTTGCGGCGATATGGGTTACAACCGAACATCTTCATGTGATGCATAGTGTCGACTGTATTCCAGCTCAAAAAAGCGACATGTATCTCCGACCTGTCAATTGACAGGTTTGACTGCTTACACAGCTTTCCTGTAGTTTGGTCGTCATGCACAGGTCCAAATTTCAATGATCTTGCAGAGAATATCTGAGATAATTTGATCTGAGATCCAAGTACATTAAGCCGTATGCAATAACTTGAATACAATTTGTTTCACATTATGGTATGTGTCAAAATTGAAGATTATTATGAATTTATTTGAAGCATCATGTCATGCATATTTTGAACCAATTTAAGTGCAAAAGTACAAATATGATAATGAATTTGTTCAAGACATGCTCTAAAAATGCTACCCAGCATAACTAAAAGTGAATCGGAACATTACTAGATTATATTATGCAGCATCAGTTCGGAAGGATGAATTCCCAGAGCCCGCAGCTGCACGGTTGGCTGCAGGATTTCCAACTCAAGTTGAATCAAACTGAATGTGATTTCATCAGCAAATTAGTGAAATAATCCCA